AAAATTTCTTCTTTATCGATCAATATAAATATATTTTAGTAAAATATAATGATTATCTATTACTATTTATATTTAACAAACAAGGAAAGAAGAAAAAGAAAATTTAACTCGATTTTAGAATTAACTAATAAAATGATTTGTTTTTAAATTTATTCTCTAAATAAATTATATTCTTATTCTTAATTATATTTATATTATATTAAGATAATAAAATAAAAAACGTTTTAATTTAGTTTTAAATAAACAGTTGTTAAACATACAAAAAAACAAATTGATTTGAGATGATATTGATGCATTGTTTACTAAATAAAATATTGGCTTTATTTGAGAGAGATTATATTTGTAAATTATCTAAAAAAACCTAATATATATATATATGTAAATATGTTAAATGGAACCACGTGAGATGATACGATAGTTAATTTAAGAGAAAACAAACAAACAATAATAAGTTGACTTTTATTTGTTATCCAATTAGTTTTTTCAAATAGACATTTTTTATTCATTGATTTTCATTTGAAAATTTTCAATAATTTTCTCTTTCTTTTTTTTAAAATTTATTAAAAAATTTTCTTTAAATGAATATTAGAAAGAAAAAGGTGAAATGCATAAATGTTTTATTTATTTGATTAGAGGATAAAAATATTCGAAGAATGAAAGAAAGATATATTTCGATGTTTAAATCATCATTTATCAATAATGAGTGGCGAAAAGTAAATTTCTTTTTTTTTTTTTTAATTAGTTAAATAAAAAAGGCAAAGACATGAATTATTCTCTTGTTTGTTTATTCTTTTTTTAATAAAACTGTGTAGTATTATTCATTCAATGCAAACAGATAGTGAATGTGAATCTGATGTATCATCAATAGCTGATTCATCAACAACAAATCAAAATCAATTAGTTGTTAATCGAGAACATTTACTTAAACGTATTGATTCATTAACACAAGAAAATCGTGTTCTCAAAGTTGAACTTGAAACATATAAATTACGTTTAAAAGCATCACAACAAGAAATCAAACAATTAAAACAGTAAGACATTTTCTTTTTTTTTTATAAATTATTTAAAAAAAAAAAACGATTTCCGTTTGGTATAAATAAAAGTGCAAGTGTTCATATGCAAGCTAAAGCTGAACAAGAAGAAGAATTTATTTCAAATACACTTTTAAAAAAAATTCAAGAATTAAAAAAAGAAAAAGAAACTTTAGCAAATAATTATGAACGTGAAGAAGAATTTTTAACAAATGATTTATCAAGAAAATTACAACAATTAAGAGAAGAAAAACAATCTTTAGAACAATCATTAGAACAAGAACAAGCTTCACAAATAAATAAATTAATGAAAAGAATTAAACGTTTAGAAGCTGAAACTCTTAATAAACAAAATACTCTTGTAACATTTTTTATTTTTATTTTTATTTTATTTTTATTTTTTTTTATTTTAGGATCAATTAAAAAGAGAAAAAATTGAATTAGAAAATACTCTTGAAAAAGAACAAGAATCTTTAGTTAATCGTTTATGGAAAAGAATGGAAAAATTAGAAACAGATAAAAGATTACTTCAACTTAAACTTGAACAACCTGATCAAACAGTTAATACAACAAATACTGTAAGATTTAAATTATCTTTTTTTTTTTTTTAATCAATTTATTAAAGAATATTATCCGAAATGAATAATTAATATTCAATTTCATATATATAATAACAACAAACAAATTAATATAAGAGTTTATCATCAGTTATTCTATTCGAATAATAAAACAAATTCGAAGTTTATTATTTAAAATCGAATAAAATATTTCTAGTTAGATATTGAAATTTTGTTCGAAATTTTATAATATTATTAAGATAAGAAAGAGATATTTATTTTATAAAAAAAAGCAAATTCTAGGTTTGTCAATCATCATCATCATCATCATCGAAAATTGATGAACCAATTGTACATAGAAATCTCTCAGTTGGTGGTTCATCATTAATAGTCTGTGAAGATGATATATCAATTGTTCAAGATAATAATCGTTTAAATTCATTTCTATCATCAAATCCAAATAGTCGTCTTTCATTACCAAATATTGATTATATTCAACAATTAAAACGAGAAGTTGAAAAACTTAAAAGAGAATTAATTCATACACAAGAATCACATAGACAAAAAATGGAACAACTTGTTAAAGAAGAACAAGATATTAGAAATGAAAATTTACGTTTACAAAGAAAATTACAACTTGAAGTTTGTTACTTTTTTTTTTTGTTTTTTTTTTTTTTTTAATATAAATAAAATATTATTATTTAAGGTTGATCGTCGTGAACAACTTTGTCGTCAATTAAGTGAAAGTGAATCATCACTTGAAATGGATGAAGAACGTGCATTAAATGAACGAATAAAAGCATTTCCAAGACAACAAAGAACAAATTCATCTCAACAAAATTTAACACGTTCACGAACTGTTTCAAGTCCATCATCAGGAAATAATAATTTAATTAATGAAAATCCATCATCAACATCAAATGATTTTCAAAGACCACGACCACCATCAACTAGTTTAGATACATCAAACAATATGGAATAAATATTTACATTTTATTACAAATAATAAACAATTACATTTTCTTTTCTATACATTTATTTTACTCATTACGATCATATCAACGATAACAATATAACAGAATATATGAAAAAAAAAACAATCAATTCTTCAATTTTCATTCGATTTATTGTTATTTAAATAAGATATTTATTTATTATTCGAGAGATATTCTATCCTTATTCAAATCATAATCAATTAAAACATAACTCATTTAAATAATCGTTATCTATTAATAAATCTCCTATATTTGCATTTTAAATTTAGTTTTGCTTTGTTTTTTTTTGTTTTTTCTAAAAGATAGATTTGTTTATGATCATTGGATTTTAATCAGAGAATTTCTTATTCAATTACAATATCGTCACAATCAATCAATTTTCATATTTTTTGTTTTATTCTTAAATTAATCTATATTGATTTTATCTAGATAATTCATTTTTTTTCTTTTTTATTGAGATAAATTTAAGTTAGATTTTAAAATTATTTTCTCATCATAATTATTTAACATATTGAAAATAAAATCAATTATTATAATCATTATTTATTTATAATATCTACTTATAATCGATTTATTTTTATCATTATAACAATATTTTATATATAAATTACACTAAAAAAACTCTACTTATACAGTGATTTTTTTTCATGAATATTTCTATTATTCAAATTAACTTTGATTCAATTCAGAAGACTTTAAAATAGATTTAAAATTTTTATCTTCACAGGATAGACGATGAAATTCATTGAGAAAAATTTACTTTTTTAAATACAGACTCTTCACAAACTCACGAAACAGACGGGAAAAATTGAATATTTCCACCGTGTTCTAACCAAATTATCTGATTTGTTATCTGAAAACAAAGCACAGTTGCAACTTTTTATTCATATATAAACAACTTATTTATTCATATGAAAACAGTACGAGTGAACCCGTGCACTGGATATCGGTAAATAACTGGTATATGTCATATATAAGGCATCAAAGCTAGTTACAAAGAAATGACTCTTCATTGTCTAAACAATCATAAAGTCGTTGCTCAACAGAACGGCATGCTTTCCGACATATGTCACTAGTCACTTGTTCGATTCTATCCTTAACTTGAAAAATTCTAGCAGATAGTTTCCTGAAGAATGATGTTTTTCTTTTTATTTGTATATTGCTTTCCTCACCGGAATCCTATATTTGTCCAGTAGGCTGTCCTCAAGTTAAGGCAAAAGTGAAAATCGCCCTCTAGGATCCCCTATCTTGACGGTCAACTTTCATTTTAAATCCTCCCAAATTTTATAACTGAATAGTACTTTCAAAGATAATTCTAATGTATATTAAATCGTTAATTAAATCTTGTTTCTTGTCAGAGAAATTTAGCTTCCAAAAATCCGAAAAAGTCGATTTTTGTGACCAACTTTTCGACCCAAAGAAAGCATCAGACAAAAAAGTTTCCGGTTAATGAAATGATCATCTTATTGAGTAGTATCTACTCTAAAAGTTTCAGCGTTCGATCATTTAAAATGGAGAAATTCCAGAAATCCAATTTTGGCTAAGAGACCCTAAGTTGTATCCCCTATTCGGACCTCTTCGCAAGATTTTAAAAATTTTTTGAATCTCCAGCTATGCTTATATTTACAAGTTCTACTAACTCAGAAAGTTTCATTCGATTTGAAGAAAGTCGATGTAAAGTCTGGTACGTTTTCGAAATAATTCCCCTATATTGATTTTTTCATTGATTATTTTTGAATTTCCATATTCTTTTGTTACGGTGCGAAGCACTGTATAGCGATTGTTCGAGAATTTTTCTAATCCGGTACGAAGCACAGCATTTATATAGTTCGGCGCGAGTTGTTTTTTTCATTTTTTCTTTCTTCACGTACGTGTCAAAACTTGTCAGTTAGTGACTTGATGATCTCGAGAATCGAAACAAGAAAAATAGTCGTTCGAACGCGAAGTCCAAGTGTCGAGATCGAATTGATAAATGTTTTTGAGTACTTCTCCAAAAGACATGTGGTTTTCTTTTGCCTTCTGATTAAAGACGACATCTTTTTTCTATGTATTTCGGGACGTAGTACGAATAAATTCTTTTCTTTCTATATGACAATCTTATTGGTTTGTGGGGAAAAAAAAGAAAAGAAACCGCTAAAGTAAAATGTTTTTTTTCTGCTAGTCGTTTATCAGTGCCTGTCGCCGACACCAGCAGTATTGATGGTTGACTGTGTGACTTAAATAGTAGTTTACCATAATCGACACATCCTTTACATTTATTCAATTCATCTGCATATTATCAACAAACTGCATCCTCTTGGTCATCATCATCTACTCAATCGTTTTCTAGCGTTGTTTCAACAGCATTATATAGTTGATCGTTCCTTGATAGTGCAGCATCTGCAAGTTCACATCATAATACGAAAAAATTCTTACCAATGTCAATTGAAAGTGATACAGATCCAGAAAATAGCGGAGTCCATATAAGTGCATCACTACGTGATGTTCTATTTGATCCAGTATTTGCATGTGCTGCAGCAGCTGCTGGTAGTCCAACAGGTGTAACACTTTTCCGTACATTATCAGGACGGGTTCAACATTTAATGAATTGAGTTGGTGGAATCAGTTCAGTTAATACTATTAATGGACGTTTACAACAGTATATACAAGTAAGAATTTATAATAAAATCATAGATATTTCTATTCATTCTTGTTTTTTAGTCACTCGATCCTGACGTTCAATTATCAACACTCAATGAATTATGCTCTGGAAGTTTCAAAAAATAAAACATAAACAATTAAGATCATTTTCTTCTATAACTTATTGTAATGGGTAACAAAGAAACATTATCCGGTTTTCAATTTCGTGTTCTTCACCCACCACTACGCGATTGTTTAGCTGATGAAAATAAAGGAAATACTGAAATAGTTTTAATAACTTGTCGTGCATTGACTTATCTCATGGAATTATTACCATGTTCAGCAGCAGAAGGTGTTGAAATAACACCAATATTTTTAAGGAAAATAATTCCTTCGATTTTTCTTGAAGTCATTTTATTGTTTGTTATTATTCATATAGGTACGAAGTGTTACATCAAGTGATATAGCTGAACAAATTCTAAAAGCATTAGAAATGATTTCGAAACGAAATGGAAAACAAATTCTTATTGCTGTAAAGTTTTTCATCAATATTTATAATTAAATTAGAAAAATAATTTTTCTTTTATTAGGATGATATTGGTGCATCTTTTGAATATATTCAATTTTTATTGCTATAACATCATTAAATAAATCTCTTGTCATTATTATTGCTAATTGTTGTATACATATATTAACACATAATGATTTTAATTATAATCATCGACATTTAGAAAATCTTGTCAATCGTTTACGTTCTGATAATAAAAAAACTGTTGAACATGTTTGTTCAATATTTTCGCGTTTAATTAAAAATTTTCATCGTGATTCATCAATATTCCGTTAGATAGCATCAACACAATTAATTAAACCAATGAAAATAATGCTTGTCGTTCAACGATCATTATTAAATAATATAACATTCGTTAGTATAATTCATAGGCTTCATCTTTTTTTTGGTCTATTATTCAATAGTCGCAGTTACGTTACTTAAAATAAATATAGCTGAAACAATTATGTCTTTTAACGAGTTCAACAGAAGAAAAATCAACAACAACAACAACTATTCCAATAATCTATAAATCAGCAGCATTATCAACTAATGAAACCATACCAATGAATATTTGATCAATACAATAAACAAATGGTATTGAACTTATCCTATGTACACCACAAGAATTATATGAAATTGTTTGATTAATCAGGGAAATGATGGCACGTTTACAAAGGGCTGAACCACTATTTCAAGTTGACCAATTATTTCGTCGTAGTTTATTATTAGACAGAGCATATGATGCTAGTTAAAATGATTATGTTTTATCATATTAGCAAGATAATTAATTTATTGATCTTTTGTTTTAAAATAATTTATTGCTTTTCTATAAGTTGATTTTTCAATAAAAATCTCATGTTCTCAATAGACGGAAGATATTATTTAGAAATAGAAAAAAATCTCTTGTCAGCTACAAGCACATATAATCAGATGAAATATATAGAAATGTCTAGACTTTTTATTTATTGAAATAATGAGAATTAAAAAGATGTACAAAAGTGAATTTTACTTCAATAATAGATAAGATCGAAATTAAAATATTATGTCTACAAAGTCTTTTAGACATTTTAGAAGATTATTAAAAGTTATATCCAACTAGAGATTCATAGGATATCTAAAACATTACTATTCAATCATCTATATTGATCTAGTGCAGTTGTGAATATTTGTATACTACGATAGGATACGGTCAGAACATTGGACCTACTAAACGTCAATTGGCGGTACTGTCTCAGCAACTGTAACCATTATCCTCAGGATGATATATTAATAAAAAAAACAGCTCGATTACTAATTTTCGTAGACGGAAGTCATCTACAATCATAATACTAAGCTGTGTGAAAGGTCAATGTAAAACTGTATAAAAATTCCATAGGATTGTTTATATGTGTACATAGATACCGTGCAGTTAGTATTCGGCATCTTTAACAATGAATTTTTATTGTTTTTGATTTCTATAACATCAAATAAAGTACATGTAGTTTATTTCAGGATACTAAAAACTAAATAGTCATTACTAATATTGACAGACTTATCTATGTTCTCGGAAAAATTTCTATTAGGTAGAGTGATTTTACGACATAGTTTAGAGATTTCAGCAACCTGTTATTGTAAATTTGTAAATTAGGAGATAAGTGAAACAATTTTCTCTTAAAAGATCAAGAATTTGAAATCACATGGTTTGTATGAAGTGGTAGACAAATATTAACAATTAATGATAATTGTTGCATCTGATGAATTTAAACTGTGTTATACTTTCTGACAATAATTAAATAAATATTTATAGGGGAAATCTATCAGATTGGGGAATAGTTTTTTACGAGACATATTATAGAATATTAAATGTGAAAAAAATTTACACGTGTCTGTAATTATTAGTTTAATATATTCGTTAGAGCAGAGAAGTTACCATTATAATATAATGAAAATCATCGATTTTTCGCAAGCCATAGGAAACACCAAAGAGAAAATCTTTTCATAGATAAACTAAAGTTTAAGAGAACGAATTCTTTTATTTATTTCGATCCTTTTTTACGAGTTGTTGATAGAATTCGTTAGTTGAAAATCTATTCTTGTACTATTCATATAGTATTACAGCAAGCATTTCTATGCCAACTAATTATTATGAAATCATTTTCATTTCAACCAATTACAATATTTTTAAAAAAATATCATATAAACGTTTGTAGTAATGATAAATATGAGTGAGACCAGTCTTTTTTTATCACAGTTTCGTCGACGTTGGAACCATTTTGTCTATATTTAAATTGAATCTTTAAAGCCGAATGTCTATTCGAAAGGGACATTGTGATAATTGATATAAAACATGTAACACAACTCCATATTGAAAAACGAATAACTTTTTATATAAAAGTAGTATAGTAGACTATAGACTGAAAAACAAAGCACTTTTAGTTGGCTTTTCAATAAGATAATTAATTAGTTAAAATGAAGAAATATTTCTAGACATTAATTTTTGTTTTGATAACTTTGCCTGTTCATTCACACAACGTGCAGTTTTTATTTTGTGATTGATATTGATGAGTATAACATGTAACGATGTTATAAAAACAGTCTTGACATTTCGATGTGATTTACTGTCACGATATGACATCTTAAAAAAAAAAGTTCCTTCAATAGGATATAGAAGCATCGAAAGAAAAGAATTTCGAACTGCAATTTAGCCCATAATCGATCTTCATAATCGTTCGAGTGCCATTAAATTTTCAGTCAAAACGGATGCTTTCTTCTCGAGATATGACACGTTGAAAAAAGGCTCATTTTATGAAATGTGCTCGATTTTATTTCTTATTCGATATCTCGGCAAGAAAATATCCGTTGTGACTGAAAATTTCAGGATTTTCTAAGGATCACGAAGCCTACTTATGAGAAAAATTTCCTTTCTTTTGATTTTTCCAGAAGGTCAAATATTCCTCTCAAGGGATATTCAATAACTCTAGAAGAAAAACAAGATTATTCTTTTTAGCGATAATATTAGCATATTGATGGTCTACAATCGCTATTTTTATGATTGGCTTTTTCCTATTGTTAAAAAATACTCCTATCCGCTTTTAACGATTGAGATCGTGTACTTTTATTTCTTAAAATATAAAAATCTATTGAATCTTTTATTTTCCTAGGTAAATTCCAGCCATATTTCTTACAAGATTCACGTACAATTGAACATGTTTGGCAATAACATTAAGAAGAAGTTCAATTAATAATATTCAGTCATCATTATCTGATTAATTTACAACAATTATAACAAATTAATGAAGAAACAAATCAAGCCTGATTTATAAAACATATTGTCACACCTGATACGATTGAATCAACATTCGAGTATGACAAACATATTCTTCAAATTCAAACAGAAGAAACAAAAAAGCATTTTAATATATTTATTTATAATAGTTAAATTGATAAATCAACAAATGCAAATAATCGCCATTTAAGGCCACCCCCCCCCCCCCCCTCAAAAACGTTAGTTTTCGTCAGAATGTCAAGATTGAGATAAATGCATGGGTAGATAGCCTCTCATTTGCTCTTTCATAAACAATAAAAATTTTTCTTCGATACCTCCTTTTTACCGAAAAATGTTCAAGTTTTTGATAACCCTACTCGAAAAACCAGCGGTTTTTCGAAAAATCCAAAAATCTTTTTCGTTTTTTCTCAAAATGGTGGTTGAACGATGAATCTCCGGCGAAAGTCAACTACAATCTAATATAAAGTCAAATATTTTTTTTTGTTTGAAAGCTCGTGTTTAGGGCTAGCCCCTTACGTAGCCCTTTTTTTAAAATAAACCTTTTTATTATTATATAAGAACACACTTCTATAGAAAAAGCACCGTTTTTTTAGGGTTTTTTTGAGTCACTGAACTTGTCATCCATTTTCTTCGCTTAAAAATTATGAATTTAAAAAAAAGAGCCACGAGAGGAGCTAGCCCTAGAGACAAGCTTTCAAACAAAAAAAAATTATATATATATATAATGAGGGTCCACAGAGAATTTTTGGAGATGTGATGAGCTATTTTTTTACCCTTGTTTGGTTCATATCTCTGTCAAACGTCAGAGTATCGAGCTGAAAATTTTACCACAGCCTCTTCACTTCAGCCGCAACATATGCTCCAAATTTCAGCCTATTTGAACGTTCCTGGGCTGAGATCAATTTTTGAGGGGGGGGGGGGGAAGGGCTTAACAACAACAAATAATTCTTCCGATGCTCGAACTGAAATGATAAAAGATAATATTGAATTATATACTTCATTTATTCAATCATTATTTATTGTTCTCTATGAAGTTTATAATTGATCTGCTTGTCCAGCCGTAAAACATCGTTGTTTGCAAGCAGTACTTCGTATGATATATTATTTTAAAAGTCATCTAAGAACCGTCGAGAGAACTGCAGCTAATTTTTTAGAAGTTATCTTTATTCAACTAACAATGGAAGATCGCGTACTATTACCTACGGAGATCGATCATACTTGGATTAGGTGAAAGCTCTCGCCACCAAAATAACACATTTTAAATATAATGTGCCCATAACAAGTCTGGACGGACATATTGAATTTTTCATCGAATTTTCTCTGCGAAAGGCCATTTTTCCAGCTAAATCATATTTTCGAATTTCGACATGAAACTTTGTATACATAAAGCCTTTAATGAGATTAGCTCGCAGAAAAAAACTTCAGCATTTTAAAACAATCTCTCTCCTATATATGAGTTTCGCAAAATATTGCCGCTTTTGAAAAGATGTTGTAGGTTTTGCGAAATTCATATCTCGAAGAGAAATCGTTTTAAAATGCTGAAATTTTTTCTTCAAGCTAATCTCATTGAAGTCTTCATATGTACAAAGTTTCAGGTCAAAATTCGAAAATATAATTTTGCTGAAAAAGCAGCGTTCCACAGAGAAAATTCGATGAAAAATCTAATATGTCGTTCCAGACTTGTTAGGGGCACGTAGTATTTTAAATGTGTTACTTTGTCGGTGACAGGTTTCATATGACCCAAGTATGGTCAATCTCTCTAACTAACAGTACGCAACCTTCCATTGTAAGTATATCTCGAACAACTGATTTTGTAAAAAGTTTTTATATTATTTTATGTTCTCTTGTATGTTTTGAACAAAATGCTTCTTCAATAAACATTATGCATCTTTAATATCAAGAACAAAACAATTTAAATTTCTCAAAAAAATATTTTGTACGTATCAAATGCTTTAACCGTTCTCGTTCCGGGTAAATTTTGGTACGCTTTCAAAGGAATCAAGAATAAACAGCAGCAGACTTCTTTTCTAGAGTTCTTTAGCAACAGAAAAAATGCGCTAAACAGCATAATAAATAATCGAATATACTCAACTGTTAATCATCGATCGGAGTGACATTTTGCCCATAAGTAGAACTTATTGAGACTAGAGAAATCCTAAATGGCTTTGTCTCCATAGGCTTTTCTTATGGAACTATGACCATTTTATCAGATTTTCAGATAATGATAACGCATTGATAGAAAATGAAGAAGAGAGAATTTGCAGTGAAAATGGATAATTGTTTCTCATGATATTGAATATTAAAAAAAAA